CGGGCATCCTTGTCTTGTTCCAGATTTCAGTGGGAAAGTTTTCAGCTTTTCACTGTTGAGTATAATGTGGCTGTAGGTTTGTCATAAATAGCTTTTATTTTGTTGATATGTTCCCTGTATACCCACTTTGATTAGAGTTTTTATCATAAATGGGTGTTGAATTTTATCAAATGATTTTTCTGCATCTATTGAGATGGTCATGTGATTTTTGTCCTTTTGTTGATGTGGTGTATTACATTAATTGATTTGCATATGTTGAACCATCCTTGTGTTCCTGGGATGAACCCAGCTTGATCATGGTGTATGATCTTTTTTCTGTGTTGTTGGATTCTGTTTGCTAATATTTTGTTTGAGGATTTTTGCATCTATGTTCATCAGTGATATTGGCCTATAGCTTTCTTTTTTGGTACTGTCTTTGACTTTGGTGTCAGGGTGATGGTGGCTTCATAGAATGAATTTGGGAATATTCCATCCTCTTCTGTCTTTTGAAGCAGTTTGAGAAGAACTGGTATGAGCTCTTCTTTGTCTGTTTGATTGAACTCCCCAGTGAAACCATCTGGTCCTGGACTTTTGTTTTCAGGGAGGCTTTCTATTGCTGATTCTGTTTCGCTTCCAGTGAGTGATCTGTTCAAGTGATCTATTTTTTCTTGATTCAGTTTTGGTGGACTGTATGTTTCTAGAAACATGCCAGTTTCTTCTAAGTCATCCAGTTTATTGCCGTATAATTGTTTATAGTATTCTCTTATGATATTTTTGTATTTCTGTGATGTTGGTTGTAATCTCTCCATTTTCATTTCTTACTTCATTTGTGTTCTCTATTTTCTTGGTGAGCCTGGCTAGAGGTTTGTCAATTTTATTCTTCCAGAAAACCAGCTCTTGGTTTGATTGATTTTTTTCTACTGTTTTTTTAATCTCTATTTTATTTGTTGCCTCCCTGATCTTTATTATTTCTTTCCTTCTGCTGACTTTAGGTTTTGCTTGTTATTCTTTTTAAAATTCTTTTAGGTGGTTGTTTATATTGGAGATTGTTCTTTTTTGAGGAAGGCCTGTAAAAAAATTATTGCCACCTTTGATTTCTTGGAGATTGAAAATGCCCGTGAGTTCAAATTCATCAGATTCCTCGAGGCACATGTTTAAAAATCACTATTACCCGGCAGAGAAGAGCCCCTCCAAGCACACAGTTCAGATGAGCCCAATCAATTACTCATGTTGCTGCAGGAGCCTGGAGGTGCCTGTGCCCACTGCCAGCAACAGTCCCTCCTACCTCCTGGGGCTGGGAGACCCTTTGTGACCAGAGACTGACTTCTCCTCGCCTCACCAGGCACCTGATGCCCCGCCTCCATGCTGCACACCCCTCACCCCACCGGCCCTGCCCTGGGTCTGGGTCTTCTTCAGCTCGGCCGTGGCACTTTCTCCGCACATTCACCTAAGAGGGCCTATGGCTTGGCTGTTCCTCCTTTGAACAGATCCTTCTAGCAGAGCTGTGCTGCACAAAGCAGTTACTTCACAGCTGGGAGAGAGACAGTAGTGCTCGGAGACCATCTAATTCCGAACACCCGGCAGCTGAGTGCGGAGGGAATCTCTGACGGTGAACGCTACAGATTCCAACCTTGCAGTCCCATAAAAGACTGCATGTGCATTTTAAAAATTGTACACTCTGTATTGTTTTGGCTTGTTTAGAACTTAACAGTACTTTTTGGTTTTTAACTTCTACCTAAAAGGTCACAGCCTGACTTTTGTCTTTAAAATTTTTGTGACATCACTAGTTGTTGGCAAGTGGCAAGATTTTGGAAAACTTTGGGCTTTATACATTTATGATGAAAACTTTTACTTATTTGCACATGGGTTTCTTAGAACAGGCTACTAAGTCATCTGCCTTTCTTTGGGTTAGCTGAGTGTTTAAGCTGTCTTTCATCCTCCACAACCATATCCACACAGAGCAGGTCCTGTGAATCTTTATATTTAAACTGAGCCCTCAATTCAGAAGTGAACTGATTTCCTTTTCTGCAGCCAACTAAATATTACAGAATTCTGGCACATTTTGGACTTTTTAAACTTTCATACACAGAAAAGGAAGCAAGGTATTAAAGGTTTTGAAAGTAAGGAAAGAAAAAAACCTAATTCCATAAAATATTCTATCTTAAATAAAGGACTTTTTATAAAATCAAGGATGAAATCCTAAACCTGGCCTTCAAGGCTAAGGTTGTAATTATCCATGAATCTGTGGGTCTGTCTTTTTTCCTCACTGGACTGTAAATTCCGCTGTGGGCCAGTCCTGGGCCTGTTCTGTCCACAGCTGTGCCTGGCTGACCACACATGTGCATAAGTGTTTTCACAATGTGTAATAACAAACCATGTGATTTTCATTTCAAATTCAGGGATTAATTCATGTGAATAAAGCTAATATCTAATGAAAATATACTGAGCTTGTGAGTTTAAATGCCAAGTGCTTCCAATGATTCTGTGACATCAGCATACACACCACTTACTTAGAGCTCATCATTTTCAGTTTGCCTACACTTTCTTTGTCATCCTGCATTTACTGTGAGAAACTTACCTGTCAAACTGTTTTAAATTTTAAGAAAATGTGGTAACTGAAAAATGTAACTCAGAAACCCCAACAACGTAAGCAACGTAAGTGACAGCGAGTACTCAGGCTTACTTCCTGATGCTTTTGTCTACAGTATTTTAAGTGACATCATACCATCAAGGTGAGACTGTGAATATTCTCAATACTGTATATAAAGCATGTTAACTTAAAAACAATTGAGAAATAAAATACTGCACTTTCTAAAATGCACTAATCTAAGGCAAAACTATATATTTACTCAGGTTGAAGTTATAAAATCACAGAACATTGGAGTTTTTCATCTTTACTACAGTGACTCAACACTT